AAGGCCTATGTTTGCTTTACTAATGTTATTTAGAAGTTGAATATTACATATTCTATTGTAAAACCTAAAATCCCTTACAAAAGCTAACACATATTCTAATATCAAATATAAATCATATGAATAAATAATGAGGCTATTTACTATAAAATGAAATGTAATATGTAGTACTTATTAGAAATTAAAAAATCATACTTTAATAATAATATTAATGATGATGATAATGATAATATTAATAAAAATTATTATTATTATATTTATTATAATTATTAAATTATAATTGCAATTATTATAAGTAGGATATTGTTTATTTATTTTTTTATTTTTGAAAAGTCTACATTTTCAATTTGACACTTGTAAACCACTGTAAAAAAGTTCTAACCAGCAGGCCCATATCATATACAGTACAGATACTTAATAAATAGTAAAATTAAATATAGATTCCGCTTTTAAATAATAGGTCACCTATAGCTTTCGCCATAAGACTGTGTTCAAAATGACATCAATGTTTTCAAAGTGCACTGTGAAGGGAGCACAATTGTAAACTTGAAGATTGCTACAACTGAACTGTAAAAATAGTTTGAAAACAAATTACACCTATGAGAGATGCTTTTTAAAATTTTTTGAATAATTTCAACTAACCCTATCATACACCCGGCGCAGTGTGGCGCAAGGCGTAACGCAATAGTCTTTTGGTAGTTTCAGCTTGGCGCAAGAGTCGTTTTGAGGTGTTGCGCTGTGCTGTTTAAATAGCAAATGCATTAGCGCTCATTTTTGCGTCCATAGACGTTCTGGTCTAAAAAGGAAGGCGTTCTGAGGTGGACCGCTGGCGCATCGCTATTTTAAGAAACTATAATAGATTTTTCATTAGACCAAAACCAACCCGGTCTAAACTCGGCGCACAGTTGCACCTCGCTTACACACTGCTTAATACGCACAAGAGAGCAATAGGCAAATATCTTTACATATGAAAAAATGTAAATATTAAGGATATATATAGGATATAATAAGAATATATGAAATATATTCTAAAATATGAAAAACCACTGCTTTTATGTCTTCATCTCGGGAGGCTTTTCAGTTCATTCATGACAATTTGCTTTTGTATAATGTTATTATTATTAGCAGTATTATTTATTATATCGATATTTATATTTGTTTTATTAAAAACAAGCTTAGATTTGCCCACCTGCAGGTTTTAGACCAAATGGGGCACAGCATGTGTTTTAGGATATAACTCAGGTTTTTGAGCACATTTTGCTATTATTATTCATTTATTTGTTTGCTGAAAATTAGAACTGAATTTAGAAATAGTTTTGAAACGAATATTTGAGCTTAACAAACAAAAGTATTTATTTATAAACTAATTGATGTCTGTGCAGTAAAGGTTTCCCTATCCAAGAGCTAAAGTGAAAGTGATCCATTATCTCTCATTCTCACCAAGCGGCAACCTCCCACTCTCTCTCAGGAAGCCAATACAGAAGTAACTAAAACTGCAATTCATGCGAAATTCCGCTAGTCCTGGCCGCTCCTGGCTCCAAAACAGAGCAAATTTCAATTGAGCCCACTGTTAGAATGGCCAACTTTACAGCAGAAAAAAAGGTGTTTACAGCCTGGTACAAAAAAAGATTTTGGTTAATACAGCTAATATTACCCTTCATGACAACTGTGAGGGGGGTGAATTTTTTTATAACTCATCCGTTTCCTTTATATTAAGTTATATTAAGTTTGCAAAATTAAGGGCGTGGCCACTTGAGTGACAGCTAGGTCTCGTTGGTCGCCGTCACGTCACTTCAGCTGAATCCTGCAAATTAGCCACTGAACTCGGCATATTTATCGTATTTCTGTGTTGTTTTATGTGGCTTTACACAGTCAACTGCCTTTTGGACTTGTTTCCTACAATTATTAGATGGCATGGCATGCTGAGAGCACTTAATTGAGCTCACAAACCATTCTTGTGGCCTCGGTTTCCCATGTGAGTAAAGTTATATACTTATATACCATCTCTATACATGTATTTGTTTTATTTAAGATCATTTAACGTTTAAATTTATATTTAGAGCTGTAATGCACTCCAGAATCTGTCAGATTGATTAGCTGTAGGCTCTAGAACAGTCATCTGAAGCGTTGTCATAGTGTTATGCTGGATTTCATCAATAGTCTTACATTAACTAACACAGACTATATCTGAAGTGTTTGGAAGTAATTCGCGTTTTCCTCCTGTTGAAAAACGTCATAAGAACAATGTTTAGTGGCTCAAAACACTTTATTGATATAGTATACAACCAAGCACAAGTGGTCAGAATACAAACGAATCACATGTGATAAAATATTAAGCGTTCTCCCAAAGCAAAGTGTGTCTGAACCAGGTCCAAGCTAAATGCTAGCAGGTGTCTGTAGCTCCGCTCACTCTCCGTCTCTTTGCCCTTGTTTGGTATCCCGCCGTGGGTGTGATGACGCGCGAACAAAATGGCGACGATTGGCCGCGCCTACTTGTGGCTTCTTTTGCGCTCTTTAGAAACCTATGGGTGACGTCACGGATACTACGTCCATATATTTTACAGTCTATGATTCTCACGCAGCAGATGCTCTGTTTAACAGTTTTCTGTTAAAAATACCTGTTAACTGTTAACTGTTTGCTTGTGAAATGCTATTTTTTTTCCACTTAGACTTACTTTGCGTCCTGTAAATAGCGAATGCACTCTTGGCACGATGCAGCTGACTCTTAAAGGGAATGGGAGATGAGACTAATTGGTTTATTCTTAAAACACACCTATAACTCATTAAGAAAATAAACTCAACCCTTTTAGACCATGCGCGAAGCGCAAGGCAGATTTCCCATCCTTAAATGAGCAAAAAAGCGTCCTGACACGCCCTGAAAGCATTTGCGCCCTGCGTTTTGCGCATGGAACGTCAAAATAGAGCCCTTAATGTTATAATGTTGTAAATGAATAGGGCATAGGGGGGATAAGTTGGAATAGAACACAATCAGGAACTATGTTTCTAACTACAGCTCCAGACCTGTAGTTGCGAGTGCTCAAGTTTGCGACGCAGTTTGCAAATGTTCGTTGGAGCGACGGATTTGGGAAACGGCAAATTAACAAATTATGTTTGTAACGACAAGACTTGCGACCTTAGTTGGCTAACAATGGTTTTGGAAAATGCACCCCAGAAGGACACTGCTCTTAAAGTGCCAGTGCAGAATATTCCTGCTAGCGACTGTTTTTCTCACTATTAATCAAACAACAAAAGGACAAAAACACTCACTGCTCTTGACTGAAGGACTTTTGTAGCTATAATTTAAGTTTTGTTGTTACAGTGAAGAATGATGCTTAAAGCACAGTTTGTTTCATATTTTTATTCTATTGTATTTATTTCTCTTTCCTTACATGGAGAAAAATAACTGTATATACAGTTAGAATTATTTGCGGCCCTTTATATTTTCCCCCCAATTTCTGTTAAACGAAAAGATGATTTTTTTTCAATCCATTTCTAAAGATAATAGATTTAATAATTCATTTCTAATAACTGATTTTTTTTTATCTTTGCTATGATGACAGTACATCATGTTTTACTACATATTTTTCAAGATACAGTACAAACGTTCACCTTAAAGTGCAATTTAAAGACTTAATTAGGGTAATTGGGCAAGTATAACAGTAGTTTTTTTCTGCAGACAATCGAAAAAAATTACTTAATGGGGGTGATAATTTTGACCTTAAAATAGGTTTAAAACATTTTTCTTAAACTTTAGACTTTTTCCAGAAGAAAAAAACATTATAAGAAATGCTGCGAAAAATTCCTTGCTCTGTTGAACATCATTTGGCAAATATATTTTGTACAGGAGGGTGAATAATTTTGACTTCAACTGTATCGTTTTAAATAATCGTGATTATAATAATGACCAAAATAATCGTGATTATGATTTTTTCTATAATTGAGCAGCCCTACACACATGCATACAGCATACTGACCCAAAACAGACTTAACAAAATGTAAATCATTGTAATGTTTTCTTTGATTGAGAGAACAGATTAAGTTTGACATATTTGTGAAGTAAATATTCTAGCCTACAAGACTAGTTACTCAAAGTTCTGTTCAGGCCCATTCAAAGTGTTTTTTAACCTTATTTCAGCTAAATTTTTTTCTCCAAAACCTATTAACCATGCATATTTTTTTTTTCTCAAAAACGCAAGCATGTATATAAATACTACTCACATATTATTGTAGCACAGTTTGTGCTGAATAAAAAAAATACATGTTGCCAATACTATGTAATACGCAGCTGAAATAAGCACAAATGTCAGGTTCTGTCAAAACATCTTAGGGGCCCCAAAATCACCTCAGACCCCAAAGAGTTAATAAATGAGAATAGGAAGTTATGATTGTTTTATAAAATAACTGTTCGAGTCCAAACTAGTATACATACAATGTATATTTATTTATTTATTTATTTATTTTTGTTGTCTTTATTTATCTTTATTTGTCACGTATTTCTTTCATAATAATATTTTTATATAAACATTTAAAAGTGACAGTTCTTTTTTGGTCATTTGGACCCAGGTATGGGTGGAATACCTTAATGTTTGATATCACTTTTTTTTGATGGTCCCTTTGTTGAATTGAAGTTATATTGCATTTACAAGCCAACTAATTCTCATTAGATTAAAAGTAGGCTGTTAGGTTGGGGTTAGGATTAGTGTAAACTCACATACACTTGCAAAGTTTCTTATAGTCAGTTAAATGTCTGTTGAAGGAGCAGTGTCAACAGATATTAAGCAGACAGTCTACTCATATTCAAATGGACCATCAAAATAAAGTGTTACATAATAATCTTTTAAATAATTCTTCTAAAATGTCTATGCCTTAATTACATGGTAATAACATGGCAATAGCTTAATAATAACGTGGTAACTGTCAAAACTTTCACATTCACTCATTAATGACAAGAGTTAATGGTAGATGTTAAGTGTTAAATCCACAAATTTGTTTTGTGTTCCTAGATAACTTCTATGGCACGCCAAAGCCTCCTGCCGAACCCACGCCGATGCTGTTTAATGTGACGGACCAACTCTTGCCCGGTGCCCGACCTAGTGCAGAGTGGAAAAGGAAGAGAAATAAGTCCGTCAGTAACATGGAGAAGGACAGCATTGAGCCTCCAGAAGAGGAGGAGGAGGAGAGTCCTATCATCAACGGCAACGGCATCGCCATCACACCAGGTTATGACCAACCACTGGTTAATTATGGGTGTGGGGTTAATTAGAAGTGTGGGCTTAACACTCGGTACAACTTATTTTTAATGTAAGGTGTAACTCCAAGATGTGGTTTTGAATCATAGAATCAATGAGGCTCTGTTTGAATATATTTACAGTTGAAGTCAGAATTATTAGCCCCCCTTTGATTTTTATTTATTATATATATATATATATATATATATATATATATATATATATATATATATATATATATATATATATATATATATATATATATATATATTTCCCAAATGATGTTTAACAGAGCTAGTAAATTTTCACAGTATGTTTGATAATATTTTTTTCTTCTGGAGAAAGTCTTATTTGTTTTATTTCAGCTAGAATAAAAGCAGTTCTTTAATTTTTAAAAAAATATTTTAAGGTCAAAATTATTAGACCCTTTAAGCTATAAATTTTCAATAGTCTACAGAACAAACCATTGTTATACAATAATTTGCCTAATTACCCTAACCTGCCTAGTTAACCTAATTAATCTAGTTATGTAAATGTCACTTTAAGCTGTATGGAAGTGTCTTGAAAAATATCTAGTCAAATTTAATTTACTGTCATCATGGCAAAGAGAAAATTAATCAGTTATTAAAAAGGAGTTATTTAAACTATTATGTTTAGAAATGTGTTGAAAAAATCTTCTTTCTGTTAAATAGAAATTGGGGAACAAAATAAGCGGGGGCTAATAATTCAGGGTAGCTAATAATATATTTAAGCATTTATAGTTTCTAATATAGTAATTCCTCTCATACTGCAACTGAAAAATTCAGTTTAATAGAAATTACATCAAATTAAAGAAAATATACAAAAATTTTGTAATCCTATAGTATTTTTATCTGAAATTAAAGCCTAAAATATTAAATTAAATCTAAATTTAAACTGATAATCCTTAATAAAAACTGTAATAGCCACACAATGCTCATTTGTACTGTGTATTTAAAAAAAGATCAATATTTATACATTTTTATAATTGTATACTTTCAAGAAAACCCAAATATGAAAATGGCACACAGATGTGTTTATGTTAGCAATATGCTAATTCATTATTGGAACACGCTGACAGCATCAATAACCCTTACAAATAACATTCTTCATATTTGCGAATAAGCCAGCAATGTGCTTATTTGTTTTAGAAGTATGTTGGCGACATGTTAATTTGAGCTTGAAAGATTTTAGGAACGTGCTAACCCAGGGGTGTCAAACTCAATTCCTGGAGGGCCGAAGCCCTGCACAGTTTAGTTCCAACCCTGCTCCAACACACTTACCTGTAGGTTTCAAACAAGCCTGAAGGACTCAATTAGTTTGATCAGGTGTGTTTAATTAGGGTTGGAACTAAACTGTGCAGAGCTGCAGCTCTTTTGGAACTGAGTTTGACACCTGTGTGCTAACCCATGCTTACAAAACACTAGTAGATACTAGAAACATGCTAACAACTACTTATTCAGCAAAATAGCAAAATTTGTCATGTTTTAAACGTGTTAATTTGAGCTAGAAACATCTTAGGTAGCATGCTAATTCATGCTAGCAAAATGTTAGTTCATGCAGGGAACGTGATAGCAGCATGCAATTCATGCTAACAAAAACATGTTAAAAACATGCTAAATTGTGTTTCAAACATATACATTTAATGTTGGTGTTCTACTGACATGTTTATTTATGCTGCAAATATGATAGCTACATGTTATGAAAATGTCTATTTATACAAGAAATGTGTTAATTTTTTTAATGCTAATTCATGTGAACAATCTGTCAATTTGTCCTAGCAACATGCTAACAAATTGATAGCTCATGTTATCAAAGTTGTTTACAACATGATAATTCATGCTAGCAAAAATTATAGTTCATGTTAGGAACATGCTAGCAGCATACAGTTCATGCTAACATAATACATTTACATTTTAGAAACATGCTAAATTATGTTACAACAATGTACATCTAACAGTGTTAGCATCTTACTGAGATGTTTATTAATGCTAAATGCTTATTTATTAATGCTAAATTATTGTTTATTAATGCTAATGCATTTTATGCTAGAAAATTGATAGCTACATGTTAATTTATGTTAACAACATGCTAATTTGTGCTAGTAACTTGTTAGTTCATAAATGGTAGTTCATGTTATCAAAGTTGTTAACAACATGCTAAATAATACTAGTAACCCATTGAGATTTTAATTTATGCTAGAAACATGTTAACGGCATGATTAACATGTTAATGCTAACCCCTGAAAGAAACATGTTAACAACATGCTAATTTGTGTTTAAACTTACTAATAACATGGTAAATCTCGCAAGTTCCATGCTAACAGTATGCTAATTCTTGCTAGAAGCATACCAAAGCATGCTCAGTCATGTTCGAAACATGACAATTCGTGCTAACAATATGCTGACATGTTAGAAACATGTTAGCAGCATGTAAAGTAACGTTAACAACATGCTAACTCATGCAACTTTATCAACCCACATCAAAGTTTTGCATCTAGTTCATTTTGTTTTCCCTCACAGAATCAAGTGAACATGAGGACAAATCCACCGATGCCTCAGGAGATGTTCCCGTCCAGCCGTGCCCACCCGAGACCCCCACCCTCACAGCCACAGACGTTCCTGAGGAGGAAGGAGATGCTCCCAAATCCCCACAGGACTTGCAGGAGAATGATGATATGGGCTCTTTGCCAGACAACTGGGAGATGGCCTACACAGAGAAAGGAGAAGTTTACTTCATAGAGTGAGTGAAGTGCACTTCAAAGCACACTTCATAATGAAAGAGCTGCGAACATATGGAGCACTACCTGTTGCTGTGTCCTCTTTTGCAGATTGTTACGGATGTCTGAATTATTTATGTGTGCCGTATTGCGCTCACTCATTTTAATTCGGTTCAGTTTAAGGCGTTTTGCATTTTTTAAATGACTTTATGGATTGGCATGTAAAAATGTATTTACAATATTAACGTTATTCGTTCTTTTTAGGGGGTTTAATCAAAGTACTTGCCTCTAAAATTAATTTAAATTAATTTAAAATATAAAATCCCTAAATGGAAATATTTGATTAAAATATAACATATTATTGTTTTCATTTGCATAATTTTAATTATCATTCAGGTATTCTCACAGAATAAAGCCTGACAACTTATCAGCAGCCTAACACAAAGCACATGCCTTTCGTATACGATGGAAGGTTTATTAACCGACTAGATGTACATTATCCTGCTTATTACATGCATACTTGCCACAAAATTGATCTGAGCTGTAATAGTTTACCAGTCATTTTATTAAACAAAGCTTAAAAGTAACCTTCAGTACTTATTGTTCAGTTACAAGATGGTGCCAAACAGTCAAAATTAGCTGTGTGACAGATAATCATAAACATTTGTATATGAATGTACTCACTAATGGTCAAGATGATTCGTATTACCTTGTTGAGCATCTGTTATTAGTTTCAGCGATTTGTTATCTGGGAATACCTTGGGATGTTTCTATTGACCCATCAGAATCAAGTAATCCAGAGCACTGTATAATATAAAAAGTGAACAAACAAATACAATAACAATGACAGACAGCAAAACATACATTTATTAGAAGATATAGAAGAACAATTGCAAAAATGTATAATTAAAATCAGAATTTTTACAGATTTTAATACAGGCTTCCATTAAACTATTTGTGTCGAAAAAGAACTATGAATGACAGAAATTGTTCTAAATGTTCTTTAATGCTATTTTTGCTGAATTTTAAATTCACAATACAATTAGAACAGCCGTTTAAACATTTTTGTGTAAATAAATATTAAATTAGTTTAATTTTAACACTAGTATTACAGCGGAGGTCTTTTCCAATGTTTTTCATTTTTTATTGAATATCATTTTTAAAAAGCACATACAGTATATTTGGAAAGTATTCATAGAGCTTCATTTTTTCCAATTTTTTTTTTTTTTTTTTTACGTTACAGCCTTATTCCAAAATGGATTAAATTAATTTATTTCCTCAAAATTCTACACGCAATACTGCTTAATGACAATGTAAAAAAAATTTGATGCAAACTTTTTAAAAATAAAAAACATGTACATAAGTATTTCACATTTCATAATAGGGACTGCACAGAATTTTGAATTGTTGGCAGAAAACATAATCTTCAATTTTCAGTCGACAGAGAAAAACTGCCTGAAATTTAATAGAAAAAAAGCTCTCCATAGTCATCCATAGTCCCTCCCTAGTCACTGCACTATCTGAAGCAGCATTTACACAGAATTAGTAAAGTGCTGCACTGCGCTAATGAACCCATTCATTTCAATGGCTTGTGCCACACAAGGGAGGTTTGTTTCTGTGCTGACCAAAGAGCAATGGAACCGCAAAGTTTGCTCAAATAACACATTGACAGGACATTTATTTACAGTACACTTGTTCCTGCTGCTTGCCATAATGCTGCTGTGCTGTCATGGCAACAGTAAAATAATAATAACATTTCCTTGCATTTATATAGCGATTTTCAGGAAACTCAAAGCGCTTTACACAGTTTTAGGGGAATCTCCTCATCTGCCATCAGTGTGCAGCATCCAACTGGATGACGACGACGGCAGCCAAATTGTGCCAGACAACACATCAGCTGATTGGTGGAGAGGAGACAGAGTGATAGAGCAAATTATGTTATGGGGATGATTAGGAGGCCTTAATGGACAGAGGCCAGTGGGAAAATCAGGCCAGGATGCCGGGGTTAAACCCCTACTCTTTTTCGGAGGACATCCTAGGATTTTTAATGATCATAGAGAGTCTGGACCTCACTCTACGGGGGAATTAGGACCCACACAGACTGCAGGTTGAGTGCCCCCTGCTGGTCTCACTAACACCACTTCCAGCAGCAACCTAGCTTTCCTATGTGGTCTTCCATCCAGGTACTGACTGCTTAGCTTCAGTAAGTGACCCTGTGAGAGTTTCAGAGAGCTAGCTGCTTAAATGACACCTCTTGACTCGTTCACTATGAATAAAATGTGATTATTTTATTGCCTTGTGTTTAATAAAATCAGTATAAGCTAAGTTAAGTTCAATTTTAAAAGTCTTAAAAATTGCTTGATATTATGTAGTTGAATAATAAATAACTATTACAATGCATTTTGAGTTTCAACACAGAATTTTCCTTTCGGTGCATTCTTATGTCATAAAAAAACATTCACTCTGCAAAACTACATGCTACCACTTTGATTAGGAATGAACTAACACTGGATTTTGCTGAGCCTCATATGAACAAATCGCCATAAAACCGAATCTGCCAGAGCAACAGAAGGAAAAACAATCTCAAGACTCAGAGAATGATGTTTCCTTCCCTCACATCAGTCCTTAATGAGAAACAAGGGACTTATTAAGAATATCGATTGTCATTGCGGTGACTGGAAAAACCCAACTGTGACTGAGGCCTTCTGGGATACATAATTGAGAATGCTTTACATTTGAAAGAGAGTCTTAGACCAACATTTGGCGCAAAGAGACGCTTCAGTTTCAGATAATGGTAGCTAAACTACAACACAATGTTTTTCTCTGTTCTTTTCAGTCACAATACCAAAACGACGTCATGGCTGGACCCTCGATTAGCGAAGAAAGCTAAACCTCCAGAGGAGTGTGAGGAAGATGGTGAGTGTGTTACTGTAACACAAGCGCGTGCGTGTGTGCTTTACACTGCACTCATGACCTCTGCTTGTATTTTTTCCCTCTGGAGATGTACGCATGAGAGATTGTTTTATGAATTCTGAAGGGGAGATCGTGTTTTGTAAGATGTCAGAACATATTCTGGTTTCGTAAAACATACAGAAGGACAAGTGCTGCTAGCTTATGATTACACATTGTGTTTCCAATGACAGAATGGATGGGATAAAAATGTCTCAGCTAGCACTGATGAATCTGTTTATTTATTTATCTGTTCATTTATTTGTTCAAGTTATTTGTTTGTTCAGTCATATAACCAGCCATCAGTCAGTCTAAACATACATCCTTTCTCCATGTTTTGGTGTTTATTTGTTTATTCATTCATTCATTTTAAATTAATACTTGTTGTTTTGCTTGATCAGTTGTTTGTCTGATCAGTCATATAGTGATGCATTCATCCGTCTGTCCATTAATTAGTGATTCATTCATTCATGCATACCTAAATACATCTTTTCTTTATTTGTTTCGCATTCAGTCATCTTATAAATAGCTGTTCTTGATTTTTTGCTTGATTTTAATCATTTGTTTGTTCTGTTGTCGAACTTTCTATTCATTTTGACATCTTTGTTTATTTACTTGTTTTTCATTATTCCATTTCTTAAAAGCGTATCGTTCATTCTTTTGTTTGCTTTCGTTTGATCATTTGTTTGTTTGTTCAGTCATCAATCCATACAATCATCTAATCATCTACCCATAATCATTTGCCCTGCATCTATCCATCCATTCATAAATTTGTCTACCCTTCATACCCTTCATTAATTTGTTCATTCATTCATTCATTCATTCATTCATTCATTCATTCATTCATTCATTCATTCAATAATTCATTCATTCATTCATTCCCATACTTCTGTTCACATACCCATCCATACATCCATCTATGCATGTCCATCCACCCACCATTCATTCATTAAATCATTCATCAATGCACCCAAATGCATTAATTTACTCAATTATCTGTTCTACCATTCATTTACCTAACCATCCTTTTCATTTGTCCATTCATCCACCCACCAAACACTTATTTATTCATCAATCGATTCATCCATTCATCTATTCATACTTGCATGGATCTGTTCATTCATCCACCCACCATTCATTCATTCATTCATTCATTCATTCATTCATTCATCTGTCCATCCATACACTCATCATTCATCTGTCCATCCATACACTCATCATTCATTCATTCATTCATCCATTTGCCAATCCATCCATACACTCACCATTCAATCATTCATACATTCATTCTTTCATTAATTTATTCATTCATTCATACACTCACCATTCATTCGTTCATTTATTCATTCGTTCATTCATCCATTCGCCTGTCCATGCATACACTCACCATTCATTCATTCATTCATTCATTCATTCATTCATTCATTCATTCATTCATTCATCTGTCCATCCATACACTCACCATTCATTCATTCATGCATTCATTCATTCATCTGTCCATCCATACACTCACCATTTATTCATTCATCTGTCCATCCATATACTCACAATTCATTCATTCAATTATTCATTCATTCATTCATTCATTCATTCATCCATTTATTTGTCCAGTTTGTGTAAGCTGCAATTTTCATTTGTTCATTCCCGCCTCAAATATTACCTGCGCTCTAAAAATAGAGCACCAGTTAGCATGACACATTCATTAGCATGCTCAAATACTGTGTTTTCTTTCTAGCCGCGCTGTTAAACACGCATGATGGTTCTTCGTACCCAAATCTGCCGTCTTTGAAACCCACTGTTGAATTAAAATGCAATTTAATGGGGCCAGAGAAATCAATATCTCTTTCCACAGGCCTTTTAATGCCTCTCTGTGACTTGACTACTAATAACCCTCTCCCTATTACGACATACATCTAGCTTTTGGCAAAAAAAAAAAAAAAAAAAAGTAAGGTCATAAGCATCATCACGATTGATTTACATTGTGTTCAATAATATCTGCTGCTCTCCTGATCCACGTGTGCATCTTCAAAGTTCAGACATCTACATGATTCAGAATTAATTTTAGGTGTCTGTTAGCGTGTGATCACAGTTTCACCATTAATTCCCATCAAACCTTGATAAATGATGGACTGTACATGTCAACCTAGTTTTAGTTGGTAGTCACAACATTTAACACAACACTTGCCTGTTTTATTTTGCAAAAATGTGCCAGAACTTATATGGTGCTTGCTGATTATTATCTCTGTTTGTTGGTTTTGAGGACACTACTTTTAAAGGACTTTTAAGGTGAGATTCTGCAGGCCAAAACATAGCTTTTTTACCGTAAAATTTTAAAATATTTGCCTTTTATAAATAGTTTCTATGGTCTAAAACAGCCAACATATATCTTAAATAGTTTTTGATACCCTTTATATATGTGTCTCTGTAGAGTTTAGTTGACATGAAAATTTTTATACACTGCATTCTCAAAATGAGTCCACATTTTATCAACATTTACACACCAAACAGTATTATTAATATCTGTATTCTGTTTTTTTTTTACTGAGGCAAATGTTCATACCTAATTCCCTCCATTATTTGTAACATTTTATTCTTTTTCTGGCTCTTCACAGTCATTTTCGAATTATGGAGTGATAAAAAAGATTCCCAAAATCCATTTTCCACTCAAAAATGAAACAAAAATCCTGAACTTGTCAGATTTTTGTGCAAAAATATATGCAAATGAGTGCATGTTAAATACATGACGACCTTTTATAAACATTTTAGAAAATTTCTAATGTAAAAAACAATTCTTAATGTAATCAAACAGATGGGCAAGTATGATGATAAATATTAGTCTTGCTCTATTCACCTGCAGTGTCTTGCCTTAAATATGCACCCAACACACACACACGCTGCTCATATTTACACTTGTGCACTCAATGCACTCAAATATACACTCGGTGAATGAAAGAGCCTGAACAAGAGACTTCTCCCATAGTTGCCATGGCAACTGCCGATGGACGACCATTGATTTAAGGAGGCTTGAGAACAGATATTTAAGGTGGTCTGGGTTATAGATGTTAAAAGCAGGAATAGTCTATAAATGTCATGCACGCGGACAATATGTATAATATTTTTTATATTCTGAGTACTGAATGTGGTGCATCAATAATCTCTTCAGCATCTTTTAAAACAATTGAGCATTTTTATTTTGTAAATTAATTTATTATTTATAAAGTAAAATTTCAAATGTTTGATTTTTTTTCACATTTCAAACCATAATTTTTATGTTTTATTGTTTTAATAATTCTGGTAATTATCTATTAATCCTTATTTAAAACAGTTATATTACTCTTGATTACTGTATATCTGTAAATGTACATTTATATGGGAAATATATAATTTATATTAGAATTAGAATTTGTAAAATTGGATTTTGTTAAAGTTTTTATTACTAGGTATTGTGTATTATTCTTTTTTTTCTGAATGTGGTATGTTATTAGTTATTTGTATAAAAGTTACTGTATCTGTGCAGTACTGAACATTTGATATATTGCTCATTTGTTTATAATTAGTTATTGCAATTAATAAACCAATTGTAACATGAATAATCTGAATAGATAAATAATACATGTAAATAATACACTGACAAAAGTGTTGTCTCCCATCCAAGTTTTAGGAGCAACAAATAATAATCTGACTTCTACTTGATGATTTGATATGAGAAGTGGCTTATATGAAAGGTAAAGGCCTCTAGATTATGCTTTTTTATCTAAATAAAATATGATCATGCCTTGATTTTTAATTATTTAATAAAAACTGTAATCTCTGACTTTGCCGAGACAAAAGTCTTGTCACTTAACAGAAATAAAGTACAGTATAGAATATACAGTCATGGTGCAATGGAAAAGGAATTACTATTGGGTATGCAGGGCTTAATTTGTGCCGGAACACGCCGGATCTGGATCCTGCACCTCATTTTACAGATCCCCCTCCTCAACCGCCCTCCTCCCCCGCCCACTGTTCACTTTCACTTTCTTTTGCGACTCCTCAACCCTCTTTACCTTCCTCTCTGCCATCCAACGCCCCGCCTTACCCCTTCCGCACTTCACTTTTGTCTGCGACCACCATACTCTACCCTCTCCCCCTTTCGTATGTGACACCTACACATCCTCAGGTAACAGGCCGGATCCGTTAGCCTGATCTGTTCTGGGACCTCGCAATTTACAAATAGCACACATAGTATGACTCTCATGAGCTTGGAGGACTGCATCCATACATCACTGCAATGACTCAAATAATAAAGTCTTCTGCAATGGCAAAGAAAGCGTTTTTGCAGGACTCCCAGAGTTCAAGATTATTTAGATTCATCTTCAGTGCCACCTCCTTCATCTTACCCCAGATATGCTCAATAATGTTCATGTCTGGTGACTGGGCTGGCCAATCCTGGAGCACCTTCACCTGTGTCGCCCTCTCCTGTGGTTTGTAATGTAATGGGCAGCACACATGTCTTGATACCTCAGGCTGTTGATGTTGCCATCCACTCTGCAGATCTCTCACACACCCCCATACTGAATGTAACCCCAAACCATGATTTTTTCCAAACTTGACTGATTTCTGTGAGAAACTTTGGTCCATGCTGGTTCCAATAGGTCTTCTGCAGTATTTGTGATGATTGGGCAGTTCAACAGATGATCCATTGAAAAAATCTACCTTCTGCCACTTTTCCAAACGATCAACTAGAAGTCAAATTATTATTTGTTGCTCGTACAACTGGAATCGACTGGAAAATTCTTTTGCCAGGTAGTGTGTGTATATAATAAGGAAAATGAATAAATAGTAAACTTACTAAAGAGTTTTCTAAATGTGAAATATTAATAATATTCAGATCATGTTGTCAATATTCATTAAATTAAAAATAATATTCAACACATTTTTGTTTTACATTTTCTTCTACTCCAGAAATGTTTCTTAATGCAGTAGGT